TATATATATATATATATATATATATATATATATATATATATATATATATATATATATATATATATATATATATACAGGATTGGGGAAATTATTTTTTAAAAGTAACTAGTTACAGTTCCCTTTGCTGAAAATGTAACTAGTTACAAGTTACTAGCTATGAAAAGTAACTCGTTATAATTATAGTTACTCAAAAAGTAACGAGTCGTTTAAATTACTTTCTTGAAATGATTATTGTAAATCTTACATTTACAAAAATTTTACATTTTAAACTTTACTAAAATGTAAAAATTGAATTTTATAATTAATATCTATCACATTAATTAGTCAATCCATTTAACAAATTTCAAATCTGTAGTTAATATAATAAAGATAGCACAGAGAATTTAAAGAGAAATTTCAATCGTATGGCATTAATTCTGAGTTCATTTTTTAATGCAAAAAGAATTCTTTTCACTGAACTAAACTCTGAAGAATTCTTTTTGCATCTGAAAATAAACTCAAAATTGATGACATACGACTGGATTCTTTTTTAATTCTCTCTGCTATTTTGGTTATTAAATTAATATACGATTACTATATAATTTTAATTTTATTTTACGTTCCTCAAGTAACTATTAAAGTAACTGTTAAAAAAGTTACAAGTTACTAAAAATAAGTAACTAAGTTAAATTACAGTTACAGGTGGGAAAAAAGTAACTAAGTTACAGTTACCGAAAAAATATAACTGTAATTTCGTTATAACATATAACTGTAATTTCGTTATAAGTAACGAGTTACTTCCCAACCCTGGCAATGAGAGTATATTTTACTCCACAAAAATTCAAATAAATTTTTATAGTCTTCTTATGTTGAAATATTTTTCTTCAATTTTCAAATATTACATATTGTATTAGGTTGACGTAAAAGGTTGAGTTTGTCAAGAGACAAAATAGGAAACGAAATTATTCAATTTCGAAGGATTAACAGTATTTACGAATAAAATGAGAAAAGCACTGACTCAGTGTTATTTTAGACATCTAACGAAGACTCGCTACTTTCCATAGTCAAACTTCCTGTGAGAATTTAATGGAAGAATGCACTTTTGCATGAACCTAATAACAAGCATGAGTCATGTGACGTAGTATAAGCAATACTGTGCCTCGTTCAAAGTGGAAGATGCTAAATTACAAAGAGAAAGCTCAAGATATGCGCGCGATTTGCCTCCGTTTCTCGCACCGACAGCGACCTGTTGCGCGATTGGTCGACTCGCTGTATCGCACCTTTATGCGTGTACCCGTGAATGCTTCACGCGCCAACATTATCCGTTAATTTCATTCCGCCTCGAAGTTGCGAGGCCGCAACACTTGGAGAGAACAAGTCAGCGTGACTTCGAGCAGAATTCTCCGATATCGTAAATGCTGCGAATGCCGATACAGCGAATCGCTAAATCCATGTCTCGATCGCGAGACAATAGACTATGCGAGTTTCAAGCCAACCGTAGCTACTTCAACTTTGGGATTTTAGATCGTTAATCGTAAGATCGTAAATAAGCCTCTTAGATCGTATTTAAGAATTTAACTAGTTCAAATGGAGACTATCGAGGCTTGACGACTCTAATTGTCTTTCCTCATTTGAAGAATGAGATAAGTAAAAGAGACATCTGAGACACGCTTGTAACGTCTCCGTGCCAAACTAATTTGCGCGGACGTGAAGCTGATTTCCTAAACATTGTTACGTAACGTGTGTGTTTCTCATTCAGCAAAACCATCTCGGTCTTCAGATAATTTTTATATCGTGGCGACCAGTTCTCTTTAACGGGTGGTAAACGACATTCCATTTCACCGGGTTAGTTAAAGGTTCGCATAATACTTCCACCTCATGGAAGGCATTTAATCCGCGTTAACGCAACGACTTCATTTCCGCCCATGCAGCCGGCAGCGAGGCGGCTCGCTTGTCGCGGACATTGCAATCGACCGGCGTTGCAACGCGCTTGCCTATGTAATTTTCAAAATGGTTGGGTGCCCGTAAAACACCGCGCGGGTGGTAAAGGTGGAGGTGGAGGCGCCGGTGGTGGTGGTGGTGGTGGTGGTGGTGGTGATGATGGTGATCGATCCGCTAGCTTCTCGCGATTAGTAGCGGATAACGAGGTGTGTCGTTCAGGAAAAGCGCGGGAAAATAAACTGCACCGAAATCTGCGGGGCGGATGTATGTTTGTATGTGTGAAGCATCGTTCGCCGACCGGGTGTTCGGGTACCACCTGATGCGCTACGAACGGGACGATTGGCGGTCGCGCGTCGGCGCGTCGCTGCGTTTTCGCGATTTTTCGCGCTCGTCGGGGACGCACAGGCGGAAAGACAGCGATTCCGCGGTGGAGCAGGAGGAGGAGGAGGAGGAGGAGGAGGATCAATAAGAGAGAAGCGATGTACAAACTAGTCGCCGGAAGTCAGCCGGCGAGATAGCCTATCGTCCCGAGCTTCTCTCTCTCTCTTTGCTTCTCCTCCTCCTCCTCTTTCGTTCTCCCTGCCCCTTTGTCCCCTATCGTCGTCCCACTCCAGCGACCGCCACACAACCGACGTCCCCCAAGTTCGCTGGAACGTGGCCACTACTACTGCGCGCGACCCGGCGCGATATTTTCCGGCTTGAAGGCTTGTTCTCGTACGCGCGTGAGCGCAAGCGACGACGCGTGACCGAAGCGACGCGTAATACAAGGTGACGGTGGCGGCGGCGATACAGGAGAATATTCTTCGTCAAATTAATTTCGCAGCCGTTCGCACCATTCGGTTTACGCGGCACGCCCGGGTTCAAGGTCGTGAGAAGAGACGCTCACGTCAAGTGTCGCTCCAGCAAGATGGCGAGGCTGAAAACGTAAGACGAAACGTAAACCAAGAGCCAAATAAGGAGAGAGAGAGAGAGAGAGAGAGAGAGAGAGAGAGAGAGAGAGAGAGAGAGAGAGTGGTTCACAAGTTTACATTTACTCCCTCTTCACCAACAAGAATAAAAGCTGAATTCGGAGTTCCACGAACTTTCTGCGCTATTTCAATACGTCAGAGCTGCAGTGGTAGTCCTGGTATCGAAATTTCTAGTGATTCTGCGAGATCGCGTGTCGATCAATTCCGCTGGAAGGTAGCTCTTTATCTTTCGACGTCGCAGAGAAGAAACATAAAGCGCTGCACGAAGTGCGAGGTAATCAGACGCGGATCTCTGTCGGTAATCCTGCGACGGGTCGCGCTTTTCCCAGAGCAGTAGTGAGTCATCATCGGCACGACTCACTTTAGCGAGTTTAAATGACTCACCTTGGGCACGGGCGGCTCCGGCGGCGTATGAGCGCTATCGTTGTACTTCTTGAGGTGCGGCGGTCGGTCGGATTGCCGGAACAGTCTTCCCTCTTGAAGCACGAGACCCCGTTCGACCGCGCGCTTCGCAGACAGCCTGAGTGCAGCTCTAAGGTCGCCATCGACATCTTCCTCAACAGTGTGGCTCTGTCTGATGAATTTCTCGATGCTCTTGAGACTAGAACCCTCGCGTTCGCCGAGCTCGCGCACGGCCTTACTCAAGACCTTGCTGAGGTCCACGGACTTGGTGACTCTGAGCGGCCTTGACTGCAACACGCACGGGTCCTTGTACGAGGACTGTCCCTTATTAAATATTTTGAGCACGTCGCCACGCTTCACGGCGATTTCCAGGTGTTCGGCGATCTCCTCCTCGTGATAGTTGTGGTGCTGGCGTATCGCGTGGCATATCCGCTCCACGCTTGGCCGTTGCTTCTGAGTACGTATCTTCCGTATCGCATCGAGAAACCAACCCGACCAAGTGTCGGTCGTCTCCGGGTCGTCCATCGTGTCCCCCGTCCTCCGTGGCCGAGCCGCGGACGACGCGACAGCGTCGACGAAGTCACGGCTAGTGCCCTCCTCTCTTCACCGGGTAAACGTCACGTTCACCGACCGCGACGTTTACATCCTGCTTCTCTCGCGATTCCGAAGCCTGGCTTCGAGAAATCCTCGCCCTCGCTTGCGTTGTCGCTGCCGTCTCTCCTCTTTCGCGCCGGCTATTGCGCTGACCCTGAAATCAGAACAGACGGGGTTGCAGAGGTCGTGTGTGGGAGTATTCGTACGAGTTTCGGCCACTCTACGTTCTTAGCGGCACTAAGCGATTTCCCTTCGATACCCACGATGCCAGATAATATCTGACATTTACTGACTTTCGAGCACAGATAGCCACGCCAGACTACCGCTACACGTGTTGTGTACAGGCTGTCGAATTACCCACTACCGTTTTTACCGCGAGGGATAGTTCTTTCTACAAAGTTGTACTTCGAATAAAGCAGACATCTAACATTTGGCGGGAGAGAAAAGAGAACAGAAATAATGTAAGTTTCTTAAGACAGTACAGCTAAAACTTCTACATTTCTTTAAATAAAGTGAAAACAAGTGAAAATACTGCCACAAGCAGAATGTAGGACGTTTCATTCAGGCTTAGAGTGTCTTCTTATCCCGTGTGAGAGAGAGTGTTTCAATCGATTAAAGTAAATTCATTGCAGCAATAATGAACACGTGAGAATCACTCTTCAATTTCGAGTGAGAATATCCACTCGACGATTTAGAGTGGAAAATTCACTCTGTATGAATGAAAACTTGCTCGAATGACTTGGCTGTCGCTCTGTACTGTTCGAGTGGAGTTACACTTGAGGAAATTTAAAGAGAGGAGGACAGGAATTTCAAGCAACATCTCTTCTAGGCGCGCCACGAGACAGAAGGTTTGCGCGACTCGACCGCGCGATAAAATTCCAGATGTTGCGATTGACTGCGTTATGCACGTGATCGACGTGATCCCGGCTAAATTGAATCTTCCGCAGGTGATGACGACGTATAAAACACGTCAATTGAGATGCCCCGAGGCAACAGCCCGGCTTCGTAAACCGCGCGATTCCTTTCCACTACTTGGACGTTACATGACTCTCTTAGAAGTGAATTTTACAAAATGACTCGGTGTTACTCGTGTATCCCGAATACTCTTCGATTCCCGTTCGACCCACCATTATCGCGGCTAAACGATCATCCTCGCGTGCCCGCGGCGACGGAATCCAAGAACTCACGCGGCCAATTCATGCCCCCTTCGCCTCCTCCCTCCTCTTGCGAGGAGGTCCCGGATTTATTCGCCCGCGTCTTTGTTCGCCGCTCGCACAACGCACACGCTACAACACACAGATTCGATTCTTACGCTCGGGTCACGCGATTTTCGACTCGGCCGTAAACGATCGTCCGGTTTTCCCCGTGAGCGATGAACTTTCTCCTGCGCGCGCGAGCCCGAGCGATACCACACACACACACACACGTGCGCGTGTGCATGCATGCGTGCGTATATGCGTGCGCGAGCGCATGAGGCAAATATTTAAAATCACTGTGCAGCGGGGGATTGCGCAACGCGAAACGACTTACAGGCTGCACGCGGCTCATTAAATCGGTCGCGTAGACGATGTGTGTGAGCGCACGCGACGCGGCCGGCGGTGATGAGATTTAGGATCGCGAGATATGAGGAGTAAGAATGGTACGGAGAGTACAGTACATATATCAATAGGGGCCTGGCCGAGGTATAAACGTCCGCCGCGCGCGTTACCGCCACGACGACGGACGGCTGAACGGGTCGTCTTCCAGTCACCGCTCCCATCCGCGCGGATCTTTGAACTTGCGGTAGAATGTCTACTCTCGGCGAGAAATGTCGTAACGGGTCGTCACTTGTGCGCACGTGAGCTCTTGCGATAGAGACCGTTCTTGAACCGTTAATCGGAGGATTCGTGCACCAACTGCGTATCAGGTGAATTCCGAAGCTTCTTCCCATCGGCGCCGCGCGAGTGTTGGTGCGAACGGGGCTGCTCTCGAGTGGAGACACGTCGACGAATTAAACGCGTGGTTTGCTACTGGAAAAAGGAGACTTCTGAACGCCGGCCTAATGGTATTTCCCCGGAGAGATATTCGATAATAACGGTCCTCCAATATATTTTATTGTAATACCGGTTTCCCGATTTTTCATGAGAAACCACTTATCGTGCTTCCCGTGGAAAAGTCCAGCTTGCTAATCGAGGTTTACTTTCGAGATCTGAACGACCACGTTCAACAACGTCCACGATTAACCGCTGAACTTTGGCCGAGAAAAATAGCGTCTCGACGAGAAGTACCGGCGAAGAGATGCACGACGAAAAACCGGCTGGGTTTTGTTTTACTCTCTCGGCGTTCTCGCTCTCTCTTTCTCTCTCTACCGCGCGCGCGCGCGACTGCCGTGGTCGTGGTCGAAGCGTGAGAAACAATGCGCGGTATCGGGCCGCGTGGCCTAAACGCTCCCGATGGCAACGTATACACGTTTATTTCACGTTCCACACGAAGCACACGAAGCGCAATTCTCAGGTAAGCTATGGGCTATTCGAGAGACTTCGATCGCCGCCATCGTCGCTCGGAGGTAGGTCACGAATCACACTGTTAACAGAGAGAAGACAAAGCTAAGCAGGTCAGCTCGCTTTGTTGTGCACGACACATTCTTGCCATTTTGCGTATCTCCTGCCTACGTGTCTCACAATCACCCACGAGAGTCACGCGAAAAAAAAAAACGCGCCCAGCAGTTACGGGATCGTAGCACAAATTGAAGAGCAGATCCTAGCATTCGTCTCACAGCCAGATCGCATGAATTACGAGTCACACGTGTTCGTGTTGGCTGAACACCACGTGGCGGAATGAACATGAGAATTTCGACACAGAAACACTTGTCGCATGATCCCGCACACGAGGAAAATACGGAGGGCTGGAGAAGATCAATTATCGCGAGAATAAACGGCGACGACGGTGAAGATGTACCTTGTGATACGAGTTGACCTAGGCCAGTGATAATAAATATGCCGGCGCCTTGAGTGCCAGCGCACGCCGAAGAGGCAGGAAAAAAGAGACTGCGCAGCGCCCAGTTAAACCGGCTTCTCGTTCTAAACCCTCGCCACCGTATTTTCGCACCACGTGTTCATTCTATTCTGGAAAGCAAGCGCTGCTCATGCTTCTGTTATAGAGGACGTACTAGGCGGCTTCCCGCCAAATCTCCGCCGGCAGTCCGGAATGTTCTTCAATGGTTCACTCTCAATACACTGCGAAAAGCCTTATTCGTTTCTACAACGACTATTTTCTCTCGCAGCTGGAAATATCGAGAAGTATTTAACAATAGTCTTAACATTCTATGCACAATACCTGGCAACAGGTAATAGGAACAGGGAATAGGAGTTCGGATTAGTTAGTTATTTCTATTCCCTGTTTTTATTGGTTAATGCCTATTCCTATTACCTGTTACTTAGCATTCTGCAAGGGCCTTAAGCCAGCGACACAAGATGCTTGTTTTCGTGCTGAATGGAAATATTTTGTTCTGATTAGTGCATTTTTATCCATCTTCAGAAATACACCAATCAGAACAGAGTATTTTTCTATCCAGCAAACAATTCATGAAAACAAGCAAGTATGCCGCTGGCTTTAAATGCATCAATGAGTGCGTAAAGAAATAAATTCTCGTTCAATGCAATGGCTTTTCCATTCTTGGGACATTAAGAGGACGACAACCTTCGAAAGAGGTATGAGGAAATAAATTTATGCCAAATATAAACTTGAAAAACACCGCGATTGAGATGAAATTTGCTTATTATAGAATACATCTTGCAGAATCACGTGCGCTTCTTATGGTATCGCATCGCATATATTGGTGCAGAACCTTTTGTAGTACGCTCGATTGCTACGTGATATTATATTATACCATGGAAAAAAGAAGGAGAGAGAGAAGGAGAGAGAGAGAGAGAGAGAGAGAGAGAGAGAGAGAGAGCGCAGTTATGCGATGCATATAATTATCACCGGAAGAATGACGCGACGTGATGCAATCAATTCGACGACGCACTCACAACAGTTCGCTTTGCTCCAAGGCTCCATTGCGCCGCTGACGTCGATTAGCGTGCGTCTCAATTATCTCAATCTCTCTCTCTTGCTACTCCATCTACTTTAAGATGGAGCTGTTGAGAAAGAAACAAACGAAAGAAAGATGGAATTGTCAAATAAAAAAGAGGAAGATCAAGGAGCTGTTGAAATTTAACCAAGATCGATCATAGCAACGTCGATTAGCGCTAATTCGCTTCTTAAAACGAGCATCCCATCGCCGTTCATAACTCCTGAGAGCTCGGTTCTGTTTATTTTGCGCATTAGGGTCTAATTCGGAAGATTGTGAAACTCGTTTCACCAACGACTTCAAACGTCGATTAAACCTTAACCTGAGTTAGATTTGTCTAAAGACGGTTTAAACTCAAGTTAAGTTCCAGCTTAACCGCCGTTACGTTAAGACGTGTTCGAACACGTTCAGATCTGTGACTTTTTGGAAAACGTACCTTTTGGTATTTCGGTGAAAGAGCCGTAAAGAAAGATCTGAATCCAAGTAAAATAACCAGAAATGAGACGACTAAACTCAGGTTAAGACTCAATCGACGTTGATGGAACCGGGCATAAGGCGTAATTGAGAGGAGAGCGTGAAGGCGGCCGAAGAATCGGAAAGCTTTCAATCATAGGACAGCGAGGCCAGAGAGCAGAGGGGTTAAAAACGCGTGTCAAGTCGAGAGAAAGAGAAATGCGATCCTCTTCCTCGTCGTTGTCGTCGTCGTCGCGCGTTGCGCGCGCGAAACGTCAATGGGACGGCTCGCTCGTTTATCGTCGCCGTTTTATCGTAGCTTCAATGAGAGAGATACCATAGTACTCGCGTCTTTACTACGCGCCGCGACTTCAACACTCCATTGACGGGGTGGCGCGCGCTCGTGCGGTTTTTTCAGCTCGGGGAAAGAGATTACCGGCGACCGCGAGGGATAACGTTTGATGTTGGTCGCTCTGACAGATGCCCGAAGCTTTGCAGAGCTGTAGTGACGTAGCAGCGTGCAAAAACACACGCGCCCCTCAAACATCACGACACTTACGACGACAAGGGTGACAATATTTTCGTTCCAACTGACGTCACAACAAACGACACCGGCAATTCAGCGTGTCTTCTCTCCGCGGGAGATCCTTGCACGGATATCGTCTCAATCGATTGACAGACAAGCACTTCATGCTTGGTGTCCATTCGAATTTCGACGCGTGATTGTAATCTGTAGCATCACTCGCGACGAAGAGAACGCGATAGCCGCGACATACAGTGCGTTTCTCCACCTGTGTATACTCTCCCGCACTTCCGTATTGTTCGCGAATTGAGCCCCAAATTGATTAAATCGCACCGCTGTGAACCCTCGAACGCAGCTTGCTGAAACGAAATTTCGCTGAATGATTTTTTAGACTACAATTGTGGCGCGCGCGAACAGCTAAGGAATGCTTTCTGGAACGTTCCGACCGAGGCTCTGTGTTTTCGCGGGAAACGTCAAATACCTTAGCGATTACTTCGGAAAGCATCTTTCGCATGAACTCGACGCGGTGACTGTCGCATGACTGTCGCGCTCCGTTTCGAGCGAAACCCCGAGCAGAAGAGCGATCAGGACTCGCAGAAACCCCGGGCAGAGAGTCGAGTGATCATGAGTCAAGGATTGATCGCTACGAAGACAAGAAAGGACAATGAGAAAGAGAGTGACGCGGAGGAGAAGGAAGGAGGCCACGAGAACGGCCGGACAAGCAGCGGACGTGCTTTTGCTCTCCTACACGGGCGTGCGCGCGCGCGCGTATGTGTGTGTTTCTCCGCTCGCTATCTTATTAGGCGAAATGAAATACCGGCTGAACGAACACGTCCGTCTATTTGTCCGCCGTTCGTCCGCTTAAAGATGACGATGGGGCCGAGGGCGAAGAGAGGCCGCCGGCTGCGCGTGTTTGTCGGAGCCCCTCTCACCCAGCGAACGAGCGTGTGAGCGAGTGAACGATCGTATGAGCGAGCGAGCAAGCGAGCGAGCGAGCGACGACGACCGACCGACCGACCGAGAGGACGCGACAAGAGCGGAGAGAGAAAGAGAGAGAGAGAGAGAGAGAGAGAGAGAGAGAGAGAGAGAGAGAGAACGGAGCGAGCGAGCAGCTGCCGCTGTCGCCGTCGCTACCGAGGAACGGTTTGTTGGAACGACCCTAAACTGCTGTTGCTCCGCTTGCCCGTCGCTCGGCGAAGCGTGCACGCGCGAGGAACGTGCGTTGCCGTCGTTGTCGTAATGCGCTCGTCGGCTCGCCTCGGTCACTCCGAGGTGACGCGAACAGAGGGAAAGAGATGAACGGAGAAAGAAAGAGAGAGCGAGCGAACGAGCGAGAGGCAATGGGAAAGGGAGAGCAGAGGAGGAGGGAAAACGAATAACGAACGATCGATCGGCCGTGGCGACCTGCGAATTTGGCGCGCGACGAGAAACCGTCGTCACGACGAAGGCTATAATCACGATGGATCGTCGTTGTCGTCATCGTCGTCGTCTTCGTTGCCGTCGGCGCGAGGTGTCGGCGGCCGCGATCCCGACGGGTAGCCATTTTGAGCGGATATTCTCGCGCGGGCAGCACGGCGAGCGCTCCGTGAACGCCCTATAATTGAGCATCGACGCGCGGACGACGTCGCGCGGTCCGAACACCGCCGTCGGCTGCGCCGTCGACGCATCCAGCGGCACGACGAGCGCGCGACGGCCGTCGCCACGTACGTGACGAGCTGCCGCTGACGGCACGGTCGCGTGGCAGGCGAACGGAGCATTTTACGGCGCGATGAACGGGCGGGAGACGTCCGAGGCACACTCGTCGTCGCCGTCGGTGCGAGATCTACGTCGGAGCGGACGACGAGACGACGACGAGGCGCGCGGGATCGTCGCGACCCGAGCGACGGGCAGCCATCTTGGCAGCAGACACACGGCTGCTTCTCGAACGTTTCGCTGGCTTCCTCCGTTCGCCCGTGCGGGCGTTTAAACCACGCACGGCAACGACGGCGTCGTCGTCGTCGTCGTGCCCGCGTCGTGGAGACACGCGTCCTCGTGGCATCCACTACACAACTCCTCTCTCTTTCCTGCGTGTATCGTCGTCGCATAACTCTCGCCGTACGTATGCGCCTGGTGAAAAAACGGCGAGGAAACGTTACACCGTCAACGCTATTGCACCGCGTATAGGAATCTCCGTCTTTTTCTCTTTCTTTCCCTCCCTCTCTCTCTCTCGCTCTCACTCGCTCGCACGCACGTCCGCACGCTCGTTCGCTCGCTCTCTCGCGCCGCTGGCCGAAGAGCGGGCGGACAACACCGCTCGGACCCCGTATGCGTCGGGCAACGACGACGACGGCCGATCCTCGCGTGGTTTTTATACCGCGGCGAGCCTACACGATGATGCCCGTGCGGGCCTGTTACCTGGTCGCAACGGCTCCATCGACAGGTAAATCCACAAGCACGACGGTGGCACGTATCACCGGCTATCAACGACACACGGAACGCGTAATCACGATCACCAATTATCTCGCGCGACAACGGCGTCACATTTCACACAAATCAACAAAGGTTACCCACTTGACAAAGATGGCGGACGGCGCGCGGGGGTTACACACTACGCGCACGCGGTGGGGAGCGCACTGCGCAGCTCGCCGCGCGCTCTCCGGCACACGGCGGCGGAAGTACGAAGCACGGGATAGCCGTAGAGCGGCACGCGTTCCCTTCGACCAATCCCGGCCCCGGTCTGCGCCTCACTAACACACTAACGCGCTCTCTCGGCCGGTCACACGTGCGTCGCGCTGATGGCGTGTCTCCGCCGTAGTGCGCATGTGTGACGGAACGAGTGTGCGTTACGTATCTGCATGCATATGCGCGCGCGTATGCACATAAACATGCTGCACATTGCAATATGTATATATATGTACGTACGTACATTCTTTGCGCGATATGCGCGTGCGCACTCGTGTACACTCATTCCCCGCACGGTTTGAACACTTGTTTGCCGATGCATTTCGAGCGCGCCCGACGTCCAATAAGAAAACATATCACCTGAGAATCACTCGAAAACAAATTCTCCAATTGGACGTCCGCTAGCTTCCGCATGCGCCAAGAGAGAAGTGTCCAAATCGTTCTGCAAATGAGTGTACCCGCATACGTTTATGAGTATCCGCGAGAGTGCGCGCGCGCGCGTGTGTGCATGTAAATACATGACACGTTGGCGTGCGCGCGATCAGCCACATACGTGTAGTGATACGTCGCGACCGCGCGAGATACGAATTTATGCTCACACGTATACACAAGTACCTGTCCTCCCGTGCATGGGTGTGTTGTGTGCGTGTGCGCATGTGTGTGAAAGAGAGAGAGAAAGAACGTACGCCCGTGGCACGGCGATTTGCTGTACGGCGCGACGAAGAAAGCGAAGAACGAGGCCGATCGCGCGCGGCAGCGAGAAGATGCAACGGCCGCGGCACGCACGCGGCGAGCCCGGCTCGAGAGACTATGGCCGACCACCTCGCGTTCGCTTTAATCGTTCTCCCATTTGGGCTGACGAGTCGCGCGCCGACGGATGCCACGCAGCGCAACTGGGAGATCCTTGTCAACGAGGAGAGTCGGCAGGACCGTATCATTCGTCCCCATTAGCGAATCCCTGGATTTCTCTTTTTCAGTGGCATTTTTCTCGTACTTGTCTCTTGGACGCACGTTTGTTTTACTTAAAATTGTGAGATAGTTTAAACATACACGAGACGTAGAAAAACAAAAGCTGCAAATAAGAAAAAACGTGAAATTTACAGATTTTGCAGACACACAGACGATTCGTTTTTCGTCGTTTCAACAAGTCGATTTTTTGTTGCGAAAGAGGCAGACGGAAAATGACATTTGCGATGGTGCAAATGATCGATTATCATTCGAGTTATTTAACAGAAAAATGATCTACATTGTGCGACAAAGATGGTGCCGGTCGAATTTCATACGACACTGCCCCGCAGTGAACGGAGTGCATGCAAAACGCGCGGTATGTCCTATGCAATTCCGTAATGAGATTATCGATTTTTTTAAGAATTGCCATCTCTCTCTCTCTCCCTCCCTCTCTCTCGCTCGCTCGCTCTCTTGCGCGCGCGTCCGTCCATCCTTCGTCTCTTCGTCTGTTTCCATAGCTCGATATGTCTCTGTCCTGCTCGAAACTCCGCAGCCTCGCCGTATATATACATCGCGCACGCGTGCCGTGTCTCGCATAATTGAATACGCTATACTCCCGTGCGCGATATCATACGGCCGGTGGTCGTGTACGCGAAGCTAACCAGCAAATTCTCGGTAATATCTACATACCCGGTGATTGTATTGATTTTCCCTCGACAGTATGTAAATTAGCGTGCCGCGATGTAAGTGCGCGTGTGAGCGAAATTCTGCGCAGTTTATGCTCTCAAGTGGGTAGTCCGCGATACAAATTGTATCTACATGCAAATAAAAATCTTGGTTGACCATCACAGACTTGACTTCTCGCTAATATAATCCCCTAAATTACTTTGTAAGATAATACACGTGGAATAAACTGCGGTTTGAAATTACACAAAATTAAAATAGCTCTTTCTCTCTATTAAATCAATGGTTGAACTTCGTTTAATTTAGGGGAATATATATACATAAATTTTTTAGAAAATATATTTTTTATACCTATAATTGCTTTACGCACGTGAAATATAGATTTGATACAAAAAGTCGAAAGATCGAGGTAAAAAAAGATTAAGCCTTTTATTAAGTACTCATTATTGCTAGCAAATTGGCGTAGATCAAGACTGGAAATTCGGCTTTCCCTCGTAAGTACATCCGGACATCTGAACGATCTCCGTGGCTGCCCAAATGCCGCACTTTATGCACGTATCTATACTTTTACCTTGTACGAATTGTGCGAGGAAACCTGAAATGATTATCGTGTTTAATGATCTTATAAATTCGTGCCGCGTGCAAACGTCAAAGAGGAAAATATTCCAGGTGCTCACCACCAACGAAAGCGTCGCCAGCACCATTGGTATCCACAACCTTTTCCTCTGGCAGTTTCGCAACGGGATACTCCGTCACCGTGCCGTCTTTGGCTACGAGCACTGGCTCGCAGCCTTGTGTTATGATGATGATTCGTTTTCTCTTGTCATTGATTTTCTCCATCTCCGATATCTTCAATGCGATCTGCTTCCTGTCTGTGCAATCAGCAAAATTATTCACCTTTGCGAACGTGTCCGCTTCAGTTTCATTGCCAAATAATATGTCTACATAAGGTAGAGCGTCTAACATGGGTTTTTGGAAGAAGTCGCATAGAAACGGAGCACTGAGATTCATCATGAATATTTTGTCGTTGTCGTACGCGTGTTTGGCTACCGTTTGTATGGAGCTCGGACTGACCGTCAAAAAAAATCCCTGAAATGAATAATACAAGATTTTGTAACATAGCATACAATTACTTCATAATTATATCTTTTGCTCTTACAATTATCAAAGAAAATCTGTACTCACTGATATATAAATGTATCTTGCAGTTTCTATGAGACGCTTGTTTTCTGGCTTTTCAATGTGTGACTGTGAGAAGCAATTTGCTGCTGCCAAATTAGCACATAGAGAACGTTCTTTCCCTGTAATGAGAACTGCACATGTTCCAGTTGGTTCCTCCTCAACATACTGATACCGAACATTCAAACCAGCCTGTTTAGCTTTGTCCTCCAAAATCTTGGAATACTTGTCCTTGCCGACACAGCCCATGTAAGTGGCAACATTTGGTTTCTGCAGTAGCCACTGTAAGATATAGGTTTTAATTACTCACTGCTGCTCATGACGTTAATGCTGGTGTTTCCAAAGTATTAATTTGTTTCTTAAATAATGATTTTGCATAAATGAAATTTACTTGTGCCACTCTCATAGTATTCTGTACAGATCCTCCCGCAATAAAGTCAGCTTTGTACAATCTAACCATTTCCTCGTACAGGGGTTTGTGCTTGTCCTCAGCCAAAATAGCGTTGTTGGACTTTAGATCATACTTTTTTAAAAATTCAGTATCTACAGTTGCTGAGATATCAAGTAGAGGGTTTCCCATGCCCAATAGTAGTCCTTCCCTGAAATGATAAGCAGTTTCAATAAGTAAAGATCTGGCAAATGTGTAAAATTTTATTTATAACATCTACAACAATTTTATCTGTCACAATTATAAATAATTGTAATTGGCGATATATTGCTGTATTTTTGTAAAATTACAGAAAAAAAACATTATTTTATATACACGATTCTATCATTCTTTCTTTCTTTTCTATCATTCTTCTTTCATTTTCTTAGTGTAGATTCCCTGATAGGAACGACCACGTGGCGACTGATAGATTAGAAAGTACCGAATACGTTGACATATTTTTAAATTAGCGCACTGAACTTTGCGATTCAGCCGTATCTTAATGCGAATCGACCCTGACAATTACATAACCTGAAACTGCATCTCTCCTCACGTGAAGCGGTCGTGAATTTCGTACACAGTATCGCGTCGATATTGCAATTATACAATTAGCTACATTTTCAAAAGAAGAACGCTTTGTTATTAAGCGTCTATCATTTTCGCAAAATATAGGCCAATTTTCATCGCTCGTTTTCCCACAGCATCCACGCGTACATAACCTTCAGAACACGATAGCTCGACATAACCTCCAAAAGGAATGTCGTCTGCTCTTCTAAGTCGCGCGATCGAGGACCGACCACGCGAAAAGGAAGAAACAAGGAAATTAATTATAACGAAATTATAACGAGGGAAGTATTTCTTACTTACCGTAAGTCTTTTGCCATTTGTGCGCGATATTTATGTTCTCATGCAACTTGCGAAGGAACCAAGATTCTGCTACAACGGCGCGTTACAAATGACTATGCTTATTGAAGAGGCTTTTGTGCCGCGCTGGGATGAGACCAATTTCCTCCAATCGCATCGACTACATGCGGTCGTTAAAAAAAAAAATACCCGCCTACTTAACCTCTGACCGATGTTATCGTTACGGTTTATCGTGGCGGTTTGCACTTATCACCAAGAACGAGAGAGGGGGAGGGAGAGACCTTTAACACAGTACTTTGCATAAGATTACGACTTAAGGCTCTTGGTCTCACATTGTCTATTTCTTTTAACTGACGTCAGAAGCGAGAAAATGTATGCTAAAAATTCTTGCAAAATACATTAAAATAAAAATATATATCCATAAAATAACACTTGCAATCGATTAAACAAATTTGTAAGATATTCTATGCATTCCCCTTTTGCTTTAATAATCAATAATTTCCATTTTACGATACTCGCGCTAATACTCAATTTGCGACACTTTGTGTCACTATCGCGAAAGATTATTTTTGCTGGTGACGTATGCAAATATGCACGATTCGTATTTCAAGCGAACACGTGTTGTTTCAAAGATAATTCTTTTTTTTTTTTTTATATTCTTTCGTCACTTCCTGTATTCAAAACATCGTAAGTATTACGCGTCTACGTTCGGAGAAAGGATAGGAAGAAACTGATAAATACATCAGACGGAATTAAGCAACTCTAGCGATTTCAACAACAACTACTCGAAAGCGGCTAAATCCTCAATTAGTTTGTGAAAACGAGTATCTAAGTTTCCTATCTGGAATGCAGCATGACGAAATACCAGCATGTATGAAAATAGATATTGCATTTGAACGTGAATAATGTTACTTAATAGACTACATTGATGTCTAAGTAAAACAGTTAATGGATTCCCGTAGAGTCAAGATCTTTATTGTTCGATTACATGCTGAGCTTTTTAGCTATCAGGCTTCCCGCGGCTCCATGTCGTCAAATGAGCCATTCCGCAATGCATGTTTCACGCACGTGGGATCTACTTACGGCTTCACCCGACTCTTCGCGATCGAACGACACGCGACAAGGCTCCTTGTTCTCGGGACTGCTTGCTCGCTCTCTCTCTCTCTCTCTCTCTCTTACCTGCGAGAATAATCCTACTTACCGTCACGTGCTTCTATCTAGAGAACGGTGTCAAGTTCAAAGGCAATTATACTAATGAGAGAACCGCTCGGAGGTATTCGATAATGTAAACTGAAATTCAGCGATATGCGCGAGGGCGACGATCAGAAACCGACGCAACTTCGGCGAGTACCACTACCGATGTCGATAAGCAAAAAATCTCGTGCAATCGCAGCGTCTGGATCTGTAGATTCCATTGGGTTTCGTAGTGGTTTCAAAGCCCCCGCGCAAACGGCAAGAGCGAAAGAACGAGCGAAGACGCACGACGTCTTGATGCAATCCGCGTTTCGTTATAGTCGCGATTGAGATTCAGTCTCCGAGGATGATCGACGGGGGATCATTACGGATGGCGCGACGAAGGGGAAATTATTCGTTTTCTTTACGATACCTTCGTGCTCCCGCCGAGTTGTGAGAGAGACACACGCACACGCACACAATGAAAGAGAGAGCGACTTTAGAGAATCCATTCTATCGAGTTTTTAGAAGGCAGGGGGATTCGGCGGTTGCGTGTGTAAAGCACGTCGCAGCGCACACGTGGTCACTCGCAGTTTTGTCCGGCGCACTCTATACAAGAAGAGAGGACGACTTTTCCCCAAAGGCCTGGGAAGCCGGCGCCGCTTCTCTCCTGAGAAAGAAAACATGGTTTTCGTTGAGAGGCGGTTTCGTACGGGGTACAAACGGTGTGCAAACACGCATACGGAGGACAAACGAGAATCAACGAGTCAACCACGAAAGTGCGACGCGTTCTTCCTTCCTTTTTTCCTCTACTTATTTACTACTTATTTACTTATCTACTTTCTTTTTCTCTTTTATTATTTTATTGTCCGTTTCTTTCGTTCTTTTTTCTATCTCGTTTGCGCGACACCGAGGGAAGCTGTACAGGATGTGAGGACTTGGGGCCCCTTCGGATGCGACACACGGTAACGCGCAACCCCGTCAGTCTTTTTATTCGAGCGCTTACTCTATACGAGACATACATACATACATACATACATACATACATACATACATATATATGTGTGTGTGTGTGTGTATGTATATACACATGTATATATATATATATATATATATATA